CTGAGGGGGCTGCAGCACCCCGTTTTCACATGGTTGCAAATGCAACGCCAAGTTTGTTCATTTAAATTTATTCAGTTTTAGCATTTAATAATTTATTTGTAATTATCTCTGAAATGTAAATTGTAAGTGGGCTATAATAAACCCATGTTTATCTTTATAAACATGATTAATTTTACTTGTGATGTTTTCTATATGGGATGATTAGCCTAATCCTCATGAACACGTGACGCTAGCGCGTGTATCAGACATTAACTATACAGAATGTGAACAAGATTAACTTTAATACAAGGAGATAATGGCGCAAAAGCGAATTTCAGATTTTTTTTTAATTCCCATCCCAGCAAAAACTTTCCAAAATCGGCATCCAAACAACACCAGCCACAGCACGAGCACCGACGTAAGTGAACCATTTTTTTAAAATGACTGTCCTTCAAAAAATTGCTTAAAAATCTCTCATTATGTTAGATTTTTTTATCAAATCTTGCGTGCATGTGTGTGTGTACATAATATAAAATAACATCATAGTATTAATAATGAAAATAATTATGATATTATTAATAATGCAAATCCTTATATAACGTGTTGCCAAAGAAACCATTGCTGGATCTAAGGCTAAAAACTACTGGTTTGCAGCCATGTTTATTTCTCAAATTAAAAAGTGAATCGAACTTCCGTTCAAGTGCATTGCAATGAACATTACATCTTTTTCTCCAGTAACTGTTTAAGTAATAAATAATGCAGTGATAACTGAATGGGGAAAGCCATTTGTTAGTCCTGTTACAGTTAATGACTGATGTGGCAGTTCTGTAGTTTTTCAAGCAGCACTACATAATGCACCTGGATATCGATCGACAGCACTGCCTGGGGTGCTGACTCTAAAAATGGGGATGTCTGTTATCTACTTTGCAACAGAGAACCTTTATTGACTAACACCTTGTTCCCTGACCAAGAATCAATGTGCATTGAGAGGCCCTTGCTCATGTTATCTTGAAATGAACATTGACTGGATTGTGGTCAGTGACAGGTGTAGCTCTTATTCTTTTAAGCTGCATTTAAAGGGGTAGGTTTACAATTATTAGTATTTTTTGCTATACACAACGTGAAAAGATAAAGATAAATGGCCTTAATTGCAAAGAACATGCGCTTTGTCTCGTCAATCTTCTGGTCCAACGCAGGGTGTTAAGCTACTACTAGCTACCAAAAAGTACAACTGGCGAACGAAAACGTTTCTGGTAGTGTGAACTGTGTTTAACATGGTTTACGTCAAATGATCTAGAATATTCAATTCGACCATGAGTTCTATTTATTCCTACCTCTGTAAACCGCATTTTCAGCTCTCGGACGTAGTCAATGTTCCTGCACTACAACCTAGCTGATCTACGTGCGCGCAAAATATGCAACGCGACCAGTGCAGTTCGATTCCGGGGCGATGTATGAAGGTATTTTTGGTGCAAAACAACTGAGCGTCCGTGACAGCGGAATTTGTCGTTGTAGAGAATAGCCACACATGTGTATCAGTAAATCTGAAGTCACAGACAAAAGTTGCAAACTTGTAGATATTTTTTTCTCTTCCACAAACACAACACAACAGTTACACCTTCTTGAATCCTTCACTGCAGGTGCACAAATCCTATTCTACGAATCACAAATCAAGAAACTCGTACGCTCACATGTTTTGCTACTATTGCTGCAGTGAATATGGTGCAAAACACATTCACACACCTGTACCAAAAAATGTGAAGTCACGGACGAATTTTGTACATCCGCAAATCAGTTTGTGAATTCTTGCAATGAGATTTGCACGCTTGTAGAATGTTTTCTTACATATATATTTTTTTCTTGGATGCTTTTTCTAGCACAAACACAAGTGCATAACTACAACGGCGTGAATCTGCTGCTACGAGTCTCAAACACTGTTTTTCGCTTGCAAATGACAAGTTTCACGCTCTCTCCCTTTTGCACCACCTATCTGTGTGAAAAATGGTGCAAAAGTGATTTGTGCATCTGTAGAGGCAACGGCGGGCACTGTTCAGAGAGCAGAGAATTTCGGCCAATCAGAAGAGCTCATTTGGGCGCCTGAAACACGCCCCCTAGTTTTAGCCACAACCCCGAAAAATCGCGAGCTGCGAGCATCTTGATAGCGACAAGTATCAAAAAAGGTACGTGGGTATTTTTTCTTTCTGAAATCATTTGTTTATAGCTTAAATATAGCTACGTTGGTAAACAGTGTTTCTTAGTTAGGTTGCAATGCAGTTGTCTAAATGAACACTATATTCTCTGAAACTGTTGTAGTAACCAGGTAAGCGAAGGGTGCGGAAGCATGTGGATGAAGTGGGATATTCCGCTCGAACCACCTCCACTTTCATGCTAGCCATGGGTATCTCCCATCCAACCCAAAATTTAACAAGCTGTTTCAGCTGCTCTTGGGACACTGAAAATATAAAGAGCCAAATCACAAAACAAGGATTCTCAAAGGAATGAAAACTGAGATAACTAAAGTAATTAGTAATCCTACCCAACACTGAGAGTAATAATTACTAGGCAAATTACCTACTATAGATTGCCTGCTGTAAATTACCTTTAGTTTACTATAGTAGGCTATCCCAATAAAAATTACTATTCACCAAAGAAAAAAAACATGGTACCCTTGGTTTTAACTTACTCACCTGCGAAGATGCACCCTGATCTGTCATTTTTCTATAAGGTAAAGCATAACAGAATACAAGGAATAAATCGTTATATTAGACAGTGTAATTTAATACGAGACGATTGAATAGCAAACTTAACAGTGCAGGTAGGCTAACGTTAGCTTACCTTTCGTGAAATAAGATTTGTTAACCTAACTAAGAAACACTGTTTACCAACGTAGCTATATTTAAGCTATAAACAAATGATTTCAGAAAGAAAAAATACCCACGTACCTTTTTTGATACTTGTCGCTGTCAAGATGCTCGCAGCTCGCGATTTTTCGGGGTTGTGGCTAAAACTAGGGGGCGTGTTTCAGGCGCCCAAATGAGCTCTTCTGATTGGCCGAAATTCTCTGCTCTCTGAACAGTGCCCGCCGTTGCCTCTACAGATGCACAAATCACTTTTGCACCATTTTTCACACAGATAGGTGGTGCAAAAGGGAGAGAGCGTGAAACTTGTCATTTGCAAGCGAAAAACAGTGTTTGAGACTCGTAGCAGCAGATTCACGCCGTTGTAGTTATGCACTTGTGTTTGTGCTAGAAAAAGCATCCAAGAAAAAAATATATATGTAAGAAAACATTCTACAAGCGTGCAAATCTCATTGCAAGAATTCACAAACTGATTTGCGGATGTATAAAATTCGTCCGTGATTTCAAATTTTTTGATGCAGGTGTGTGAATGTGTTTTGCACCATATTCACTGCAGCAATAGTAGCAAAACATGTGAGCGTACGAGTTTCTTGATTTGTGATTCGTAGAATAGGATTTGTGCACATGCAGTGAAGGATTCAAGAAGGTGTAACTGTTGTGTTGTGTTTGTGGAAGAGAAAAAAATATCTACACGTTTGCAACTTTTGTCTGTGACTTCAGATTTACTGATACACATGTGTGGCTATTCTCTACAACTACAAATTCCGCTGTCACGGACGCTCAGTTGTTTTGCACCAAAAATACCTTCATAACTTTCTGGCTAAAAAGGCAAGTTCAAGTTAGTCAGTCAAATCAAGAGTTTCTGGTCTTCCGTACAATCGGTTTTGTGTGTTGCTTGCTTGTCCTCCGTGTAACGTCAAGAATGTGTGTACTTCGTGGAGTTCTACTGTGCACATCCTGGATCACGTCATTGCGTGTGCGTGCAGGTAGATCAGCTACTGTAGTCAGTTTTTTTTCTCTCTCTGGGAAACAGGCCTGTTTTGTTTGGTATCTTGGAAAGTCATACACGCACAATTAAGTACAATGTAGAAAAAAAAAATAAGATACAAAATTAAAGTTGTAACTACAACAATCATTACTGAAGTACATTTTACAAGAAAATACAACTGTAGTCTTCCTAATTCAAAATGTCATATTTAATTCAATGTTAATTGCTGTTTCTTTGTAATTATTGTGAAATTTACTAGACATTTCTGAAAGAAAATTGTTTCAAAGTCAATCCTACACTGTTTTTTGTCAGTGTGATAAACTATGATTGTGTTTGATAGATTTTATATATGTGAATTTAGGTCAAAAATTATTTTAAAAAAACTATCTATCTATCTATCTATCTATCTATCTGTCTGTCTGTCTGTCTGTCTGTCTGTCTGTCTATATCTATCTATCTATCTATCTATCTGTCTATCTGTCTGTCTGTCTGTCTGTCTATCTATCTATCTATATATCTATCTATCTATCAATCTATCTATCATCTATCTATCTACATTCTAAAAAAGGCTGGGTTAAATACAACCCAGTGCAGGGTAAAATAGGGACAAACCCAGCAATTGGGCTGTTTTGACCCAGCGGTTGGGTTAAATGTTTAACCCAACCTTCTGGGTAGTAACCCAACCGCTGGGTCAAAACAACCCAATTGCTGGGTTTGCCCCATTTTACCCTGCACTGGGTTGTATTTAACCCAGCATTTTTCAGTGTATCTATCTAGTAGCGCAGTTGACTATTGGTCGGCAGGTGGCGCTAAGGGTCCGCGCATGTGAGTCGTAACCGCGCTCGGCTCTCATCGCCTCCTCCCGTCAGGTGCGGGGGGCGCGAGCGTGTCATGTGTCGAATAGAAAGTGAACGTCGCGTTTCTAGCTGAGCGCGTACTCTCTCCCTGCGCGTGTGCGTGCGTGTGTATGTTGTTATTATTATCGCGCTCTCCGCCGCGCGCAGAATGGCTAGATTCACCCAGACTGAAGGGAGGAGGCAGCAGCATCCTCAGCAGCTCCCGCACCAGCCCCAGTACGCGCACATCACCTTCCCCAAGCCCATGAACGGCTCAGAACCCATCTCCATCCACCCCGACAACGGCACCATGAAAGACCAGGATGCCATCAAGCTGTTTATAGGACAGATCCCGCGCAACCTGGAGGAGAAGGACCTCAAACCTCTTTTCGAACAGTTTGGAAAGATCCACGAACTGACTGTCCTCAAGGACCGTTACACTGGCATGCACAAAGGTAATGATGCTTCTAAATGGCTGGCGAGGGCTTTGGCCACATGGGTTACCTGTTATAAATTGCATTACGAGCTAAAAATATGTTGCCTCGTTATTGTTCACCGCTGCTTACTTCTAAACATCAATTTTCTTCTGTTGCGCATGTATTTATTCTTTACGCACAGAGCGTGGTTTTATTTTGCACTCCTTCTGGTCTCTCATATATACCACGACCAGCACGATTACAAATGATTGACATCTGACAGCATGCATTCATGGAATTCAACCCGAAGTCTTTTTAAGAGTAACATAGTCTGTTTTTCACGCAATACACTAATGCATTGTAGTTTTGTGTTTGTGCACCTGCATGGTTAACTATTCTTATGAAATATAAAATTTATGATAGAAAACATGTTTATATTGGTATTTATGACTTTATACTTTATAAACATAAGATTGTATGCACATTTGTTCTTTACAAACTGTGCAGGCTACCCCTGTTCTTATATTTTGACTCATTGTGCTCCCTTATGCAATATTAAACCACACTGGATATGATTTCAACAGATTTTCATCAGTGCATGCATGCAGTTAGATGTCAATTTAATCTACCTATCACTTTTTAGGGTAACATGCTAGTTCAATGTTTACTCCAAATCTAAAAATCAGATTTCTGTTGCACATATATGTATTCATCGTGTATTCTCATCTTAGCCACATTTTCCCCTCATTTCCCTCCCTCACACTATTTGTAAGCACAGTCACTATTGCAACTGATCTCCATCAGTACATGCTGTCAGATGCCATTCAAACCTACCTCTGTCACTCTTTTTCGAGTAACATGGTCTATTTCTCATGTAGTACACTGATGCATTGTGTTTTTGTGCTGGTTCACCCTGTGCACCTGCTAACATTTATTATGTAATATAAAATGTGGAATAGATAAACATTATTGTTCACTTAAAATATAAGAATCATCTTTGTGCATGTACACATGGCTTTTTGTGTCCCACATTATATTGAACTACACTCAGTATGACTGCAACTGATTCCCATCAATGCATGCTGTCAGATGTCATTCAGACCCGTCTGATGTTGGCAGATCTCTCTTGTTCTATTTCTCTTGCGTTGTGCTTTTCTGCTTGTTCATCCATGTCATGACAATAAAAAGGATGCTGGATGTACCGTGGTCACTCCCACTTGTGTATCATCTCGTATTTTTGTGTGTGCTCGCAGAAGTAGGGCAGCCCCACTTTGCTCGCAGATGATGCATCCCAAGAGCTCCCAGTGCGCGACATGCACTCTTCTTCACTATGTGAAATGAAACATTTGGTGCGATGTTTCTCATTCACAGTAAAATGTGAACCTTACATTACGTGCTAATTTATGCATTTAAAGAAATCATGAACCCACTGAAGGAATCAGTGTTTCTTTGTTTGGCATTTGAGCATTTTATTTGAGCATGTATGCATTATTTTTTCCAAATTCCCAAGCAAAATCTCATCCAAATTAATGCACCAGCAGAAATTAGGACATAATGCTTTATGGTGGTTTGGCATGAATTCTTTGTAATGATTTTTTTTTTTAAGGTAGGCCATAAAAAAAAATATATATATATATATATATTGGTTAGAGATTACGCTTTCATCAAAAATAAGTCAATTGTTGTCATACTCAAAGAGTATAATAAAACTAAAGTTTCTTTATTGTCATTGAAGGTTCCTTGAACAACCTTTAACATCCATGGAACCTTTCCATTTTACAAAAGATTTTTTACAGTGGAAAAGGTTCTTTAGATTAGTAAAATGTTCTATACACTAAGCAAATCATGTTTTTTTTTTTTTTTAAGAACTGATCACTGAGAGGTTCTCTGGGAAACCAAAAATGGTTCTTCTGTTACATCGCTACAAAATAAACCTTTTGGAATCTTTATTTTTCAGAGTGTAGAGCTATAACATGTATGTGGAAAGCATCTCAGATTATTTGGTTGTGGAAGAATTTGATAAGAAATGTCTGAAATTCTAGAAGATGCATGTGAGATTAATGGGGTCTTTTTTTCCAGGATTAAAATAAACCTAAAGTTTCATTTTGCATTTAACCTCATTGTCTTAGAGAAACAAATGAGATACTAAAGCAATCTCATTTTTACTTCTTCTTTCTTAGCGGGATCAAAACTGAATCTAAATTGTATTCTACAGTATGTACAATATTCCTGGATTTTAAATAAGCTTAGAATAATATTTGTAATAGTAAAAGAGCTCCCATTCCTCGATTTCTCTTTTGTCTTAGGCAGGTCATCTCACTTGACTGAAGCTCTAATTTGATTTGAGAGCAAGCGCTAGAGGGATGTAATAGCTTTCATATGCATTTTAAACAGACAGATTCTTGCCCAGGTTTTCTGTGATTATTTCGTATATTAGTGAAAGAAAACATAGTCCTCTAATTCATTAAAAACATCATGTTAATTGAACTTGAAAACCCATTTAAAGCAACACACTCCTCTGTGAGTATCTGCGTCCCCCTTCCTTCTTCTGCTCAAAATATTCCCTCTTTCTGTCACGCTCAGAGGCACACACATGCTGACACACACACACCGCACAAATGAATAATGGTTTAAGCCCATAGGAGGGTGCGAGAGGGAGGATGAATCAGCGTAGGAGGCCTGTCACACTCACAAACACGCGCGCACACACACACACACACACACACACACACACACACACACACGCACGCGCGCATGCTCTCTGTTGACTGCTGTCTCAGTGGGACGTTATTAGTACAGTGCTGTTAGATTATCATTTACATTGACATTAAATTACTGCTATGAAATGCGCTTTATGAGTGTGCAAGACCTGCCACAATAGGCAGAGGGTGAAATCGATGGAAAACAGCATTAGATGCACATTTCAATTACTCTTTTTCACAGCCCTGCTAAAAGAATAGCATTAAGTCATCCTAATGGGGTTCACTGGCCTTAGCTGGTTTTACACTGGTTTAGCTGGTCTCCCAGCCAGACCAGAAGACAAGTCAAGGCACATTTGTTTATGTAGCACTTTGTAATACAATACAGATTGTTTCAAATCAGCTTGCAAAATTCGTCAGTTATGAAATTAATACGGTTTCAGCTGTAAAGCAGATTTAGAAAGACAATAGTGTCATTATTCAGCTCAATTTCCATCATTGTTGATTCAGTTCAGTTCAATAACTGTG